TGGCTTGCATGATTCTGACTTTTGTGCTGTAGAAGTATGTAATTAATTAAATAAATAAATGTTTAAATTAAACACATAAATAAAATATCATTTCTTCACAAGGGTCTGTATAATTGCCAAATCAGTTTAAACTACTGAGTGAAATCTCATGTAACAATATCGCTTGGGCCTCTAGTGCTTTTCTGCTGCTCTAGAGAAAAGACTGCATCCACACTGCAGAAATGATGCAGTTTAACACTACTTGAACTGTCATGGCTCAATGCTATGGAATTCTGGGAAATGTAGTTTGTTGTGGCATCAGAGTCCTCTGACAGGGAAGGCTAAATGTCTCCTCAAGCTACAGTTCCCATAATTCCATAGCATTGAGCCATGACAGTTCAAGTAGTGTCAAACTGCATCATTTCTGCTGTGCGGATAAAGCCTAGAACACATACCAATGGGTTCATATCAAAAGAAAAGACACTTAAACTAATTGTTAGGAACTATTTCTTTACTGTAAGACAGGAGTCTAGAGTGTCTCAGAGTATTGTAGACTCTCCTTCTTTGGGGGCCTTTAAACAAAAGTTGTATGGGTAATTTTGGGAATATTTTAGTTGCATTACAGAGGGTTACAATAAATGGCCCTTGATGTTCCTCCCAACTCTAAGATTCCATGAAAAACAAAAAAAAATTTGTTTCATTATTTATTGTTTTACTCTGGAGCATGTTGTTTTAATTTATAATTAGTTTAATGCTGTTTTAAGGGGTGGGAGGGTTGGATGGGAATGTGAATGTTTTTAACTTGTGTATTTTAATTGATGTAACCCGCCCCGATTGCTCCGCAGAGAGGCGGGCTATAAATAAAACTTATTATTATTATTATTATTATTATTATTATTATTATTAAAAGCTGAATTTCTGAGCATCTCCAGAGTGTCAACTTTAGGAAAGTATGACTCCATCTAGAACAGTTGGGAACCATCTTTCCAAGCATATGAATGATCCACCAGCTAGCTGGAAAAGATCTGTTTGCTACTTTGAGAGAAGGAATTTATTAGTTTTGGCATGACTAAGAAAAATGTGGGGGGAGAAGTAATGAAAAGGAGAGTAGGTGGAAGAGGAAAGGGGGGAAATGGCATGCTTAAGTGAAAGAATTGGGTTTTACTATTAAAGGAAACTATCAAGGGAACAGAGGGAGAAATAGAGACTGACAGCTCCTGGGCCAATTTTAGCCCACTTGGCCATGTATTTTGTTCTCTTTATAGCTGCTTCTGAAATAACTCACTGTAGGGTGGGAAAAGGGGATGGAGAGAAAGATGACACTAGCAAGAAGACAGTAAACCTTCCCTCCACCCAGATATGGAGACATGAACTCAGGTACTCTGAGATGGATCTAATGGTAGACTGTGGAGCCTAAGGAAAGGCAGAGCATGTCCTGTACAATCTAGATACAAAGAAAATGGAAATAAACTTTGTTTTAAGATGAGTTAGGCTTTTACCAAATTGCCTTCTAGCTTATGGTCTAAATTAAAGGGTTCTTGGCAAGGATATTTTGGGAGGCAGCTCAGCTGTGGCTTGGTGGCTGGTGTCACTCCACCCTTACATAAAAATCCCAGGTTCTTATTTTTATACAGGCTCACAGTACTGATCTTAGCCATCTATTATGAGATAGGAAAAATCTCAGCTGGTGCTGAATGTTTGTCAACAAGATTTCTACAAGCAGAATGGGGATTCAACATGTTTTATGGCACTAGTTAAAGCCTGGGCCTGTGAAAAGAATGGTCTTTTGAGTATGTTTGTTCCTGGTATTGAGTTTATCTTGCTCAGCTGAAATAGCTAAATATACTTGCATCAAGTATATATGCACACTCCAGTACATCTTATAAATATTTACTAACTGACCACAAGAAGTTTTGCATGAGTCCCTCATACATCCATAAACACATGATGGGGGGAGAGAGATTGTGCCCATTACATTTGTTGTGCTAAGGGTTGTATAACTACTTGTTGGCACATGTGGCACCCATCCTCACATTAGCCGTATGTTCAATGTCAATGTGAAATAGGGTTGTAATTCTTCACTAATTTTCTTCTTCAAAGAAGTAATAAATAATTTAAGCAATCTTCTTCCCTTTGCAAAAAAAAAAAGACTGAATACACTACAGTTTTTGAAGAGTATTCACAATCCAGGACCTTCTCTCTGAAAAATTGGCTATGCCCTTATAGCACATGAATAGCACTTTCTTCACAGGAAACACTTTGCTGTTCACAAATGTTGCTGTTTTCCCAGAAAAAAAAAAATGTATGAATTTTGTTCAGATATGAGCATTCACTTTTTTTCCCCTCATCATGGAGAAAGAACACCTTAAGACACTTAGGGGGACTGCAGATGGGCGACACAGAGTCGCACCCCATGCCATGGCCCTGATCCTCCTTTTTGCTGCCCCGAAAAGAGCAAAGAGCTGGCATGTGGATCTTCAGCATCCTTTCTGGTGCAGCACATCAGAACACTGCACCGGGAGAGTGTCTTGAAGCTGCGCATTGTGTGTAATGGTGTGCGGTATTAGGATGTCATTGACGTGGGGTTGGGGCAGCTGGTGTGCACTGCCCCACCCCAACTCTGCCTACAGGCTGGCCCTAAGGGCCGGTCTGCAGAGGCCCTTAGATACCCATAGCAAAATGTTCCATTGCCATGCAGGAATATAGTTCTTCACCAGGTTTCTTCTCAAAGGTAGCAATGAGGAATTTAATCAGTTTTCTTCCTGTGACAAGAAACCCTTTAAAAACCACACCATTTTCAAAGCCTATTCACAATACATGTTGGTCTTGACCCATGGTGACCCTGCTGATGAGACATCTCCAAGACCCCCTGTCTTCCACTGCTCTGCCCAGCTTCTGCAAACTCATATTCATGATCTCTTTAATAGTCATACAACCTAAGCAGATGGGAAGCCGTGGGCCACCCTGGGAAGGTGCGCTGCGGGACCAAGCCATCCCTATGCCTTGATCCAGCAGCACACCGTTGGCACCCCTGGAAAGGAGCACTAGAATAGCGCTCCTTTCATATGTCACCGAAAGTGCGTCTCAAAAGCTTGCAGCGCACTTTCGGCGACCCTTCTGCCGCAGCGTGTCCGGACGCTGAGGCAGGAGGTTCTCCTCGGAGCGCCGGCCATGCAGAGGGCCGGCGGCTCCGAGGATGACCTCGGAAGGGGGAGGGGGCGCCGAGCATGCGGCTGCCCCTCCCCTTCCCTGCGCCGAGGACGGCTTTTTAAGCCATCTGCCGAGGCCCAGTGTCTCTGGACCAACAGAAAACAAGCTGTCCTTCCAGCGGCATGTTAAAAAAAAATTGTGCTA